TTACTAAAATCTTAAACTTCTCTTGGAAAATCTCTTAGTAATTCTTCTCTTTAAACTTCTTAAGAAAATCACTTCTTCTCTAACTTCCTAGTAATTTAGAAGGGCGGTGCTTAACCTTTCGGTAGAGCCCGGTGGACCGTGGTTACGGACGGCCACCCCGAACAAGTGCCGGTACCACAACTGCTCTGTTGGAAACGAAACGACTACCTTAAGTGTGCACACCCCCTAAAAGGGATTCCAAGCCCTCCGAGTAGTAAGTCATCCCGAGTGGTCGGAACCCAACCACCCCAATTCTAAAATTCTTGAATGATTAGGGACTACTACTATAACTTCTTCTTAAAAGGGATCATAGATCCAAATCTCACTTGAAACTTAAACTGTACTTCTTAGTAGTAGTAGCTCTAATCACCCTCCACATTTATCCGGATGTGGAAAACCGACACCTCGGATTACTCCCGAGATGCTCACTTCTTATGAAAATGTAAATTTTATCTTCGCTTAATAATACTTCAAAAATACTTCTTAATTTCTCTAAAAAGTCTCGAAGGTATTTAAAAATATTTAATACCCCAAAAGTACTTGATTTATACTTCTTAACTACCATATATATAATATCTCCTCAAAATCACATACACAAAATTCACAATTCACACTTAATCACATAATGCATAATAAGCATATAATACGAGGAAACAATTTTGGATTGGCTGAGAAACTTACCTCAAATCCAATGCTCCTAATTTTCTTCCTCAATTCCGGTCTCTAAATAATCACCTTTTTAATTAAGATGATATAATTAGTCATTTATTCTGTTTTTAATAATTTATCAGATTTCCCCCTTATACACTACGATTCGAATTAATCATCATTATAGATCGCTTACAATTACTTGAAACATTTTACTTACTATGGTCGGTATTCGAGTTCATCTCTCAGATTAACTAAAATCGGAGTTTTAATACTCTATTAGTTATTTTGCAACAGTGCCGAAGAATCCAATATAATTAATATTAATCTCTAATTAATGTATCTATATTATTTAGTTCAACCAAATTTTGACATTCACCTTTTAATCATCAATTCTACTTAATTGCTAATAGTTACTACTCTTAATCCAATTAATTTATTTCAATAATTAATCAGCCTCATTACTAATTGTCTAACTAATTAATCAGCCTCATTACTTAATTTGATTTACTTAGTTAACACACTTTCTTTAATCCAATTGCAAATATTTAAGTAATATCTAATAATTTATTACTAATGGCCCACCATTATAATAAGATTCATTTTAGCTTAAACTGAATAAAACGAAGCACGTAGTATAGCAGTATTATTAACAGGTTGTCTTCTTCGAAGGTAACCTACTATGCCGGGGGAGAAAAACGGCGAAGCTAGATAGGGGTACTTTACCGGACAAGGAACCAGCGGGAAGGCAGCGGTGGTGGAATCTTTAGCCAACGTAGATGCTCCTCGGTGGGTTTGGGAGACGTCAGACGTTCGGCGACGTAGTTGCAGCTTTCGACGGAAAACAGTCCGGCCAACTCCGGTGAGCTATTTCTCCCTCGTTTCACGACCGTTTTCTACGATTCTTTCTCCGATGGATTCCTCTCACGAAGGGGAAGATTTTTGAAGTATTTTCAAGGCCCAGTTTTTAGTATATCACTGGGTTGGAAATTAGGGGGTATATATAAGTATGTACTCCGTATACGTTTATACCGATCAAAACTTTTGGGATGAAAGGCATCGCAGGTGAGTCTGCTATTTATAGGGGAAAGATGAGGGTTTTAGGCTGAGATGTTAGAATTGGTACTTATCAGATCGTTTTCCTTTGCATCTACGTTGTTATCTTCGTTCGTATCTTAGCACGTGGGTTGGAGCTGGAGTTTATCTTCATTTGGGTTCTGTATGTTTGCGGGATTACAGCCAAGTTCCTTCCGTAGGTACAGCTAGAGTGTCCCGGTCTCCTCGTGGGCTTAAAATCCTTGCCTCACTTAATGTTTCCTGGTGTTATTAGAAGTACTACGTATTTGCTACTGCTAGCATTAATCTTATTATGTATTACTACGTGAGTATTATTATAAACGTACGTACTAGGTAGTAATAGCAGAGGAGACAAATAGTATGTTAGTAATATTTTTAATGTGTATTAGCATATTCTTAAATTGTTACTTTTATTATCGGATCATTTTTATTAGATTAAACATGTCACAAATGTTGAATTTTTGTCTGGTTCACTTGTTTAATAAAATGTTGTTCCTATTACTGAAATATTTTTATTTGACTAAAACGTCATAAATTTTGAAATTTTATCTGATTAGAATGTTACAACTGTTGAATTTTTGTTATCTCACTTTAATAATTAAAATGTCATTTCCGTAACATTTTTATCTGACTAATAAAAATTATTTTCATATTTATTTAAATATGAAAATAATCCAGAATGAACTTGAATACCAAAGGGATAAGACTAACACTGGCCCCAAGGTCACACAAAGCTTTGTTGACCATGAACCCTCCAATAATGCATGAAATAGTAAAGCTACCCGGATCCTTCATTTTTCTAGAAGTTTCTTTTGAATAAAATAATAGCACTGGATCCCTCGCTCATGGCTACAGTAGCTTTCTCCTCAAATTTCTTCTTGTTTGATAGAATTTCCTTCAGAAATATGGAATATGAAGGCATATGTTTCAAAGCATCAAGAAGTGGGATTATTGTGTTGAGTTGACCGATCCATTTAAGGAATTTATCCCTCCTCTCATCAATTGTGTTCTTCTTTGCTCTATGAGGAAATGGTAAAGGTGGAACATATGTTTGAACTACCTTTTTTGTGCCCTCCTGTGTTGGAAAATTGAGACCTTCTTTGTTATTTTCCTTTGGTGGTGAAGTCTCCTTTTCAGGTATCTTTTCTTTTTCAACAACAAGTGGTGGATCAGAAATTTGTTTTCCACTCCTTGTAATGTCTGCATTGACATTCTCCCTGGATGTTCAGAGTAGGCAGGCAACTTGCCTTAAGCCCTGCTAGTGGATGGTGAAGCAAAACTAGCAATTTGACTCTCGAGCATTTTATTGTGAGCTTGAATTTGATTGAGTTGGGTGGTGAGTTGAGAGAATTGATTAGTGATATCTTGCATCATTCTATGGAAGTCATTAACTCCAACAAATTGTTGTTGTTGTTGAGGTGGGAGTGGTGGTAATTTCTGTTGCGGTGGGTACCCTTGTTGATTTTGAAATCCAAGAGGTGTTGGTTTGGATGGATAGGATGAATTTGTTGCACCTGATGGGTTACTCCATGAAAATCCTGGATGTGTCCTCCCTTCAGGATTATAGTTTCCTTGATATGGTACTTGAGGTCTACCATATATAGTATCAGCTTGTTCTACTGTGAGACCGGAAGGATTATTTTGTGTAAGTTCAAGAAGATTGTATTCCTTAAAAGAATGTCCTCCTCCATAGAGTTCACAGAACAAATCTTGAGATAAAGATGATGATGGATTTGTTGATGTGCTAGAAGTTGATGATGATTGCTTCCCCGTGAGCTTTTGAACCATGGTTGTGAGAGAATCAACCTTTGCTGTTAAAGCTGTTGTTTGGTCAACCTCATAAATTCCTGCTCCTAGCTTTTGAGTGGATCTTTCAGAATACCATGATGCACTGTTGTTACAAATTTTCTCAAGCATCTCTCTGCCTGTTTCAGGATCAAGCTCCATGAAAGCTCCATTAGCAGAGGCATCCACAACAATTTTGGAATTATCATGTAATCCTTCATAAAATGAGACAATGAGATCACCCATGCTCATACTATGATGTGGATATTGAACTTGAAGGTCTTTAAATCTCTTCCATGATTCGTAAAGAGATTCTGATGGATGTTGCCTAAATTGCTGGATCAATTTCTTCATTTGTGATGCCTTGGAAGGAGGATAGAACTCCTTCATGAATTCTCGATGCAACTTCTCCTATGTGTTGAAATAACCGGATGGTTTAGAGCTTAACCAACTCAATGCTTCATCCCTCAGTGAGAATGGGAACAATCTGAGTCTGATAGCATCAACAGAGGCTCCATTAAGTTTCAGAGTTTGGAGAACTCTTAAAAAGTGCTTCACATGGCTTGTAGGATCATCATTCATTGATCCACCAAAATTGTTGGCTGAGACCAATGCGATAAGTGCTGGTTTGATCTCAAAATTTGCTGCATCTACGCCTGGATAGAGAATGTTATCTTGTTCTTCAATTTTACCTGCAACATAATCAAGAAGTCTTCTCCCAGGTTGTTGTCTCATGAATTGCCCTTGATCTTGTTGATTATGTGGGTGTTGGTAGTATTCGCCATATGGGTGAGATTGGTATGAGTGCATAAATGGAGGAGGTGGATAAGGATATGGGTAAGTGTATGGATAGGGTGGAGGAGGTTGGTTTTGGTAGAGATGTGGTGGATACAGGTTGGGTTGTGTTTGGGGAGGAATTTGTTGGAAATTTCCAAAGACCTGGGGGTCTTTGATCACCAAAGAAAGGGTTGTGTTCATCTCTTGGAGTATCAATGGGTGTATTTTGAGGTGTGTGTTGTGGTGGCGTAGGATTTGGATTTGGAATTAGGTTTTGGCCATTTCGATTATTGGGATTGTTTTGAAAATCCTCCATGATCTGATCTGGAAAAATTTAAGTTCAAGGGTTCGTGTCTTTCTTCTTTTTCTTAATTCTTTTTCAAAATCAAGGTTAAATGGTTGCAATCCTTCACTCCCTTGAGAGCGAGTATGCATACACTACTTTTTTTACAAAGTGCAGGAGAATCGTTTTTTATTTTTATTTCTTTTTTACAAATGTGAAACTAAAAAATGTGATGATAACATTGGAAAAAAACTTAGTCTCCAAATAAAAATAAACACTAATATTAACTAATAATCAATCAATAACACTATGTCATTCCCCGACAACGGCACCAAAATTGTGACATGCCAAAATGTGTAGTGTGAAATGATGTAAGAATGCGTAGTGTGAATGGGATTGATGTTTTTATTGACTTGTAATGATATAGTATAGAGTAAATGAGTATCGTTCCATTAGAGAATGACTCACAAAGAGAACTAGAATTAATGATTAATTTATAGCTAATCACAAATTAATAACATTTTGAAATGGAGCGAAGTGAACAGATTTTTTTTTAAAAGCGCTTGCCTGAAAGGTTCTAGATAGAGTTGAGAATGTCTCTCACCAGGCTCCTCCTAGGTTGCTCTCTCTTCCCCTTCTCTGGCGCCGCCGTCCGTGGTTGACCGCCGCCGGAGCCCTGATGGCTCCTGTGGGCTTTGTTTTTGGTTTTGGCCGATTTTTGGAATACCTTTTGAAGATGATACTTCGCTGCTACCTCTTGGGAACCTGAGCTATCTGGTCCACTGGTGGTTCTTGGAGTCCTTGGTTGGTTTTCCTTGGCCGGAATTTAGGGATGCAAGCAGCTCGAGTTTCAAGCAGATACAACCAGATGGGGTCCGGTGGTCTTCTGCTGGTTCGTGCTTCATTCGATGAACGATGTGTCCGCCTTCTTCTTCCTCTTGTCATTCACAACCAAGGTGAAAACCCTCCGGTGGTGCAGCTCCGTCGTCCTCGGACTTGGTGCCGGAACGGTTGGGGAAATCTAACAGGTCGGAGTACAAGTGGCTTGGGACGCTTGTCAACGACTTTTTAGACTCCCTGAATGTCAAGATGCCTGCTTGATTCTCTTCCCTGCACTTGAGAGCGTTGCAGATGGCTCTTCCTCCATGGGTGGTGGCGTTTTCAGTGGCAGCTCCGGGTGAGGGGTACCGGTGCAGACCTTTCACGCAGCCATCACCCCACACTGCTTCGTTACGGATCCTTGGCTGGGCCAACGCTTTGGATCTGGAGTTCGCAGCCACCATCGATTTGTCATCTGGAAACGGGGTAGCTTTACTCCGGTAAGTTTTCTCTGTTAGTCAACCTTTCTGGATGAGGATGTTTGAAACTTTGGATGCTCTCTACTCTGCATTTCGCGTCTGGGGAATTCTGGCCTTGGGGTTTGGGTTTCTGAAGAGTTATGTGGGGTTGTTCGTTGGATAAGATGACCGGTTTTGGTCTTGGTGTCTGTTTCGTGCTACTGGGTTCGAAATCCATGGTGGTCTGTTCGTATTTTCCGGCTACTGTCAAAACGCCACTTTTCGGCTATCCACCTATGCCGCCGGGGCTCGACGGGGGTGGGGAGTTGAGAATGGAGAATGGGTTGGCAGCGCTCTTTTCCGGCTTGGTTCTAATCCTCCGCTTTTCCGGCAACCGAACCGTCTGGTGGACGCCGGAACCGGGTGGGGTGGTTGGGGGGTGGGGGAAGGGGGGGAGGTAAGGTGGTTTGACTTTGGCATGAAGCCCCTGCGGCGCTGACCTGTTAGCGACGCCGGGCCTGGGGCGTTTTTGGGCTGACCCGGGACTCTCCTTAACCCTAGCCCGCTAGGAGTGCTGGAGATCTTGGAGCGGACTGGATGTTGCTGAGCACTGAGTTGGGCCGCTGCGCTGGGACTCCTCCTGACTTCAGCTTTGGGCCGCTGGTGCTGAAGGTTAATTTGGGATGCTGAAAAGTTTTTTATGATGTTGGATGCAAGGAAGGGTTTTCATTGGGCCCGGACAGTTGGGATTTTCTTTTGTAGACTTTTGATGAATGAGCCGGGGCCTGTCTCGTGCCATTCTTGGATTGTGTTTTTGTGATGCCCTTAGAGCTTCTGAAAAATTTTTCCTCCCCCTACCCCTACCGCAGGGTGGGGGGGGGAGACAGATACGGTAGATACTATTTTAGGTTAGCATGTTGACTTAGATAGTTTTTTGATTTTTGTGATGCATTGTACAATGCTATTTTCTGGATATATATACATTTACATTTTATCCAAAAAAAAGTGAACAGATTTTTTTATCTTGTTTTTGTCAATGTGAAATTGCTAGAGAGTAAAATAAATCACAATACTTGGTACTTTAATAATTAATGATATAGATAAAATTAGGCTTGGGCTAAGAGTAGTTTTATTGTGATGTTTATAATAATAAAGATTTAACTAATTAACTTAGTTACTCTTAGGTGTGTGAAAGATTTACAAATAGTAATCTTCTAATCGTTCCCACGACTTAGTTGATTACACTATCTTAAATTAATTCCGCTCCCGCGGTAATTTTATTAAGACATTAAAAAGTACAAAATCAAATCATCCTAAATTCCTTAACACTTCTGTGTAGCAATTTAGTGGTGAATTAACAAAAGGAATTTTAATGAAATTTCACTCCCGTGATAATATTCATTTCCCAATATAATGTATTTAGCAGATTAGAATATTCAACCCAACACTCCTAAAACTAACCAAATAATATTTTTAACAATTTATTATCATTTGAACTTTAACAGCAAAAATTACATCTTGCCCAAACCTAAACTAATTTAGTTACACATAATTACAGTAAATGAAATAAAAGTAAAACTAATGATAGGCATGATTAATTTAACAGATTAAAGAAAATAAAATGAGTATTTGAATAAGAACCTGAAGGCATAAATAATGAAGAACATAGATGAGCTAGAACAGAAAATTGAAATCCTTGTATTAAGCTGGAACTGATCGAACGATCCGATAATCCCAAATGAACTTCAATATCAAATATCACAAGCTAAAATTCTGGAATAGAAATTGCCAACTGGTTTTTACAGAAAGTGTTCTTGACAGAATCACTTTTATTATATGACTACTAACATAAACTAAACTAAAGAAAAGAAGGTGATTTCTCTCCGAATTGGTATGTTTTGCAGCTCCGGAATGGCCCTTTATATAGGAAATTTTAGAATAGCTTGGAGCAAAAAGTCTTGTGATGAAGATGGTGATGGAATTGAGTTCCTATTGAAGAATAGTGCTCCGGATTCATTTTTCTTCTTACATGCAGCGCCTGAAATGAAACTTGTCGTATCTTCTCTTGGTTTGTTGCTCAATGAACAAGATGATACGTATGTGGAGCTTCAATTGTATGGAAGGAATTCAAAGTATTACTATTGCATGGGTCCCTCTAATAATACAATGAATTTATTTTCTTTTCTTCTTGAGAGTTGAGAGCTTCATATGTATGGGCAACCTTCAATTATTCACAAATGAGTGAATAGTTTTGTCAGCCAAAGTTTTGGCTCCACTTCCGCCACTTACTTATTTTGGCCGGTTAATTGTTTGATCAGTTGGTCAGCAGTTAACCGGTACATTTTATTGCGGACAGTCTGGTTCATTCTGAAATATATTTCGGGTCTCTTGATAAATATTTCGGAGTTAAAGAAAGGACCCGCTTCACTTTGATGATTTTTTCATCTTCACTCGTGAGTAATATTTATTTCTTTTCAGAAATTAACTTACGCCCCGAATTATCCTGAAATTCAAAAATATACCAAAACAAGTGCAATACCTTAAAATGTCCAAGATGATAAAAATTAATCCTTTTTAATTTAAAAATGAGAAATAAACTATTAAAAGTGTGACAAATCAGGATCGTAAATATGGTAAATTAGGAGTACATCAACACTCCTCCATTGTCTGAACATAGTCACTTCAACTTCTTCCTTGTTTCTCTTTCTACCATGGCATGAAATAGTTTGAAACGATCAAACACTTGATCCTTACTCTTTAGACAGTAAGCTCATACCTTTCGTGACGCATCATCAATGAATGTCACAAAATATCTGCTTCCTCCAAGTGACTCCTCTTCAATGGGTCCACATACATCTGAGTGGATAAGACTGAGTAACTGTGAATGGTTCTTCCTGGTAGAACTGAAGGAAACTCTGTGTTGTTTCCCAAATAGACAGTGCTCGCATGGATCTAGGGCAACACCTTTGCCTATGGAAATGGCTTCCTTCTTTGCAAGAGTTGTCAATCCCTTCACGCTTAAGTGGCCTAACCTTAGGTGCCACAAGTTTGGTGACGTCTCTTCTTCAACAGTATTGAGACTTGGATGACACAACTTTGTATGAGTTTTATAAAGAGTACCACAAATATGTCCTCTTGCAACAATCAAGCTAGAAATCTTTAGATAACTTCCACGTACCTTCTTTGAATCAGTTAAGGTATCCTTGCTGATCCAGAGTTGTACCGAAGATAAAATTCAATCTAAGATCCGGAACGTGTCGAACATCTTTCAACACAAGTGCGCATCCGACATTGGTTGTTACGTGCACATCACCAATGCCAACAATCTTCGAGAAACTGGTGTTTCCCATCTTCATAGCTCCAAAGTCTCCGGACTTATAAGATGTGAATAAGTTCTGGTGTGGAGTGGCGTGAAATGATGCGGCTGTATCAACCACCCACTCAACATCATGAGTACATACGTGTAAACATTCTTATTCACCATGTGTAACAAGTAACACGTCTGATGACAAACTAACCATAGTCGCACCATCTTCTTGGCTAGTATTTTGACTCGTCTGTGGCTGCTCTCGTAGAAACTTTCTACAATCTCTTTTTGTATGCCCATAATCTGCCGCGAACTTGAGAATTTCCTCTACTTTGACCTTGGCCTCTACCTCGACCTCGGCTTCTTCCTCCATTTTTGCCCCCCCCCCCCCCCTTGTCGGTTAGTTTCTGATATGAGAGCATATGATTGTTCTGTCCCGGCTTCCTTCCTTCGGGCTTCTTCATTCATCAGGACATCTATGACCATCTTCATAGTCACCTTCCCATTAGGAGCAGAATTACTGAGAGCGACAAGAAGAGTCTCCCAGCTGTCAGGTAGAGAACTCAAGAGTAGTATCGCTTGCTCTTCATCTTTGAGAACCCATCCGGTGTCGCTCAACTGATTCACGAGATCCTGGAATTGACTGGTGTGTTCTGACACCGAAATACCACCTCGTAAATTGTGGTTTACTAATCGCCTCATTAGTAACGTCTTATTTCGGGCGGTTTTGCTTGATACATGCTACCAAGCTTCTCCCATATTGTATAAGCACTTTGTTCTTGAGCAACATGGTGTAACACACAATGATCGATCCACTATCGGATATGTGCGACAGTTTTTCGATTCATTTCTGTCTATTCTTCATCTGTTTTTTATCTGGTTTGATGGCATTATTATCAAGATGATCGACTAAATCCCTCAAATTTAGCAAATCCTCCATCCGAGGCTTCCACATATTGTAGTTTGTGGAAGTGAGTGCAATCATGGTGTCCGATGATGCTTTATCCATAATAAAACGTTCAATATATCTCGTACCTTATTTTTGAAGACGAATTTGGACAAACAGAGCTCACCGTTGGATCCGGAATGGCCGAAAATGGTGGGAACCGGTCCGACCTCGTCCAAAACAGGTCTGGAAATGGGTGAACCGGCCTCAACAACTATGAACCGGTTTGGTCCGGTTAAGGCACCAACCCAATGTGCAGACCAGCAGGCGGATGACATGGCAACAGCTGACTCTGCGCTGGCGCTGACGTGGCAATGACGTGGCAGGTGACGAGCTCCGATCGGCGGCCTGATCGGATGACGTGGCAGCTGACCTGGAGTTGAATGCGCGTGACGTGGTGATGACGTGGCGCTGACGTGGCGCTGATTAGTCGTCTTCTTCCTCTGGACTATGCGTGATGACGCAGGCAGTTCCAGGTAGCGGTTGGGCGGCGTGTACGGCCTCTTCCGGTGGCCAAAAAATTACCCAAAAATACCAGATCTCTACTCTCGACGAGACGAATCTAACAGTATGATTAGGTTGTGATTCCAAGCAACTTCAAAAATCACGATTTTCTAACCTGTAGAAATTTTTCTGAAAAATGAGAAAAAGTGTATGGAAACTCAAACTCGCTCTGATACCACTTTTTGGGATTGGAAAATTCTTCTATTCAATATCAAGAACAAAATTACAATAGGAAGAGCAAACTCTCGCACTCAACTATTACAAAAAACCAATCATTACCAATACACTTCTACACTAAGTGTATTTCACTCTTCACACACCTTTCTCACTTTCTAAACTGATACAAATGAACAACAATACACTCCATATTTATAGGTGTATATGAGAGACATGAGGAAGTTGCATCCAATCTTCCATTCCCATTGCTAGGGAGTTTCCTAGCTATCTCCAAGCAACTTCCATGAAGGGATGTGGAAGTACCTCAATGTTGGATGGCTCCTTCCTAGAAGGTGTTATATGTCTTTTAGCAACTTCCGAGAAAGATGGTGGAAAATCCCTACAGACTGACCTTTAGTATGAGTTAATGTACATTCCTCGCGTAAGAGTTTACTGAGAGTTTGCTCGATGTCGTCTTTGCTTTTGAAGTGGGTAGGAAATGAACCATGATACCCTGAGGATTTAAGAAACTGTTGTCATGTTGGAAAAATTGGAAGTATTTCAAATGAATAAGTTTACTTGTGATAATTATCTTTTACAAATAAAATATTTGCACCCGTTACTTTCTAAAAGATTATGAGCTGTTTGCATTTACTATTCCTAAAAAATAACTTTTACATAAATGTTTAATTTTGGACATGATGGTTTTAAAGTTCATAATAATGATCATGTTAAATAAAATGATTAATTATAAGCTAAAATAAAACAATCCTTGCACAAGTCTAGAGTAATAACACATTGTATACAGTTACAACTCTCATCATCACTCAAAAACTTAAACAAACACGTTCATCATGTGTCGTTGATGGATTGTGTCATTTCTAAGAAATATGATGCCCAATGAGTTCATACTTCATCAATCTCTTCTGATGAGAATGGTTCCGGATTGGCGAATCGCTACAAATTAAATACGAAGGTTATTAAAAAAACATTACATGGAGCAAACCTATTGAATGTAAATAAAATAATAACGTACCTCAAGAATTACCGCCGAAACAATATTCAACATATGCAACATCACATAATAACCACATTCATAACTCCCAA